GCCCGCTCATGACTGGACTGCACTTGTCTGGGAGTCACTTACCTATTACTCATATTATACTCCTGCATTTAATTAAATTATCCATAAAACTCTGGCCTTCCACGCCCTATCTTATCTACTAGCTTATAACCGTTGGGATAGGTTCATCTTCTATTATCCGGCCGGACTACTCGTATCCCACAGACAACTCGTGTTGGTCTTTCCCCTTCTCCTCCTATACGGAACTGGGCGTGCTCTGAGCAAACCTATGACTTAGCCCCTTATAATTCTACCAACTATACTGAACTGACTACCTATCAGCCGTAATATTTACGCCAGTTCCCTACATGGTGCCCCCTTTCTGGGCTCGTTATTAGCGTTTACCTTTTCCAACTACCTCTGTTGATTAATAAAATTTATTTCCCCCTCTCTGTATGCTCTATAACTGACTGTAGGCATGTCGGCTCGTGATTCAGTGTCCGTCCAAGGAGACAATAACACACCCGTTGCAGAGAGTGGCCATTCCATCGAATCGGCCACTAGTTCGGCGAGACGAGATCGATTCGAGCTACGAGACGAAGGACAAACTGGATGCTACAGTCTCAGTGCATGTCCTACCAGACTTCTTTTTTGCATACGCAATATCAAGCACTTGCAAATCAAACCGGTGAGCTGGAAGAAGCTTGCCGTGATCGACCATTTTGGAGGGCTAACAAACCGGAAATAGCCATTCCAGTCTCCCTTGTTTTTCTCAACAATATATTTCTATCTATAATATGCTAGGCGTTGAGCGGCTGCTAGAGAGGGCTCGAGAGCGTGCAACAAGGAATAACGGGACAAGTTAGTTCCATAACCGATCGGTGAGCCACTAGCTGTCAGAGTTGAACATAGTAAAATCACTTTACCATAATTAATGTACTCTTCTGCAGACGTAACCCTTGAACCCGAATAAACTCCAGCGTCCATTTGTGGCTAACGTGAAACAGCGTTAAAATTATGGGAATAAATAAAATGCCGTTGAAAGAGGCATAATGAATTAAGTTTAAGTGAATCTGATCCAGATTAGCCGAAAAGCTAACAGTTAACTAGGGCAAACGCGTTATAATTGAACCACAACAAGAGGAAAATCTTATACTTCACTTAATTTTCGTTCTACCAATAACTACCTTATGTGTACGTGAACGGGAAGGAGCTCGGTTAGTATAAAACTTGCTGAAAAGTCTGATCGTGAATGAAGACCTATAAAAAGTGGTTCCATCTCCAGTCTAATGATAAGAAGGCCACTTTACCAGCCCCAGGCAACGTGAAAACGATCCAACAATTTCCGCGATTCTCTTCGAAAGTCCTCAATGCTTCCAGACAACCGTTTGAATTTGATACTTTGTGGTCCGGTGTGCTCATCGAAGATTACCTCAAGATCAAGTGCCAAAAGTTCGGGTGGGGCCGGCATGACATCTGAGTCGATATCTGTCTCCTGCAGTGTCATTGGAACTCGCCAAGTGCACTGTACCCGATTGGAGGCGATGTGAGTGAATTCGATTTGCGTGGAGTTAAGCACGGTCATAATACCTTCCATGACCGACTTCTGATCACACACAGGCACCTGAGCCTCCTTCCGCTTCTTAACTCGAATTTTCTTTGGTGCGACGGTGTGATTTTTGTTATGCTGGGGTTCTTTTTCATCCTTTCTTGAACGGTTGATATATTTAAAAAGATTAAAGGACATTCTGGTTTTTGGGGTTGGCCCAGAGGCGCTGGTTTGACCCGTTTTCCTTTCCTTTGGACCCAGTCTGGTGGAATTCGGTTGGAGCTTGAAAGATGGTAGGAGGGCGTATTGATCCGTTGACAAATTCAAAGGAATGCGCCTTACAAATCCGTAGATGGCGCATGATAGTGCCTCTGCGTCAGATAACATCACAGGGCCTATGACAGAACTTTTCTGGAATAAGAACCTACCGACGAAAACCTCCGGAAATGTCAGCCCTTTTACCCCCTTGCTCGGACTCCATCAAATCCCATCTCAAAAATACACTGTAACACAGGCAAAAATATATATGCAAGTAAATAAAAAACAAAAAATTGTTTTCAGATTATT